ATTTTATCATTGTGAAAACTGGAGTAGTGAAACTTGTCAGTGATGCAAAATATTATATTCTATTACTGTTAATAGTCTCAGATTCACAGAATTGATGCATAGAGTGACACATTGCATGGAAAGTGCTTCTTCCATTACCTGGAAATTTTAAAGTACTCCGTGGGACTAATGATTAATCATAATGATGACACATAAAGGAAATGGCAGTAACCAATCAGGTTCCTAATTCTCATGGACGTAAATTCCTCCTCTCAAATTCCTGGAGACCCTTGAATGAAAGGGACAATATTAAGAACTCTGCCAGCCTTCTTTACAGGCAGTTCCCATATGATCAGAGAAAAGTAACAACAACAACGATAACTCAGATGTATCACTCTTCCCAAAAGAATAATCAGCTGAATATATGCATTAGAAGGCACAGACTTTAAATTGGACACTAGCTCCATAGATTCAGTACTTTGAGATATGACTCATGGTATCCAACAGTGGTATACCTTGGTCATTTCATTTACTTGGGGAACTTGCTGCCTCTGCAAACTAAATATATGCATACAAATTAGGTTCTTAGAGCCTTACAAACTTTGTATTTATATATAAGGTTGTAAAGCTTATATATAAACTTGATATTTGACCTTTAATAGAGTCCTTGAATAATAAAAGATATATGACTCAGAAGGCAAGAAGAAAGAATATGCACGCATCTCTTCTTTCTCATTCCAAGCTGTTTCAATATTGCCAGTCATATACTTAAAAAAAATCATCACAGTAAAGCAAACACATAAACAAGAAAGATGGCAATTATTTCAAAGTGATGACAATTCGGGGTAATTTCCTGAACTCTGTCATGGACAGATGGTGGCTGATGGTGGAAGAAGGCTAGCCACCTTTACTAAAGCCCACAGAAAGGAGCGGGAGATACAGATGGAGCATGAGTTGAAGATGAGGTCAGAGAGCAGGAAGGGCTGAGCAGAGGACAAGTGAAGGCAGCAGCAGAGGGAAGAACGCTTGAATCAGCAAATCTGAACATCACAGATGACCTGCTATGAAATGGATGCCACATGAGAGGATTTTGAAGCTTCAAATGGCACACCATGTTGGCAGTTGGCCGTCTTTAAGAATATGGTTTTTTTATATATAGCAGATAGGACACGCTTGTAGATAAACTTTGGCTGGTTATGTTACCAGATTAATGTCTGAATCTGTATATTCTGTGATTGCTTAGCTCAGTTGATCAGAGCAATGGTCATAAAATATGATCGATGACCCTTCAAAATAAGGGTCATGGATCCCATGTGATCTTCAGACTGGTTAGACTATGAAGACAGAACATACCTCTGGGGGCTTGAGTTTCTCAGAAACAAAAGAAGAAAGGACTACTTTCATTCATTGAATCCACATTGATATCAATCTACCAACAGAAGTCTAGAGAGTGAGAAAAAACAGAATATGTTGTCTCAGAAGCATTGTGCTTAAAGGGAGTTGATCCACTAGCATGGGAAAGAAGATCTGGTACAAAGAGCACAGTCTTTCTCTTCCCCATTTTCCACCTGGGGTTCCCACTGTTATCTCTTCTTCCTCTTAACTCTCAACGGTGAGTCTAGGGACTCACTGTTATCGCTTCTTCCTCTTTCTCCCTCTTTCTCAACGTTTCATTGTTCAAACATTATGTGTGGCACAGAAGTAGGGTGTCAATAACAGTGGAGGAAGTCATGGTGGAACTACCTTCCTGAAGTTTTTTAATGAGAATAGATGTAGTAGAAATTCTGAGGGAGTTTTGACATCCTAATTAATTCACAGATGAAAAATTCTCAGAATTTCTGCATCTAATGGAGCCATCCTGTCTAGTCATGATAGTTTTGATTTCACAGGGGGCAACTACCTCTGCTCTGTACAGTGGCCACCGACTGGATCCTTAGTTTCATTGAACTTCTTGGAAAATGCATGTCATTGTTTCCATAGAAAGAGAAGACAGTGAGAAAATGTATCATCTATCCTGACAGCTGAAAAAAAACAAAAACAAACCTCAAAGGATGTTGCGATGACAGTTGTGTGAATAGTGTTGCCTTTAGAGATGAAGATGAACACATCTTTACTTTTGCAAATAAAGCAAGAATGTCAATGACCCAGTGGATGTGGGAACAGTGAACCAGCACTGGTAATTTCAGGGATGCTCTTTCAGTACTTGTCCTTTATTTGCTTTTTACAAAATGTTTACTTATTTTGAAAATGAGAGTGTGTGTGCGCGCGCGCACACATGAGTGGGGGAGGGGTGGAACGAGAGGGGGAGAGAGAATCCCAAGCAGGCTCTGAGTTGTCAGCACAGAACCTGACTCGAGACTCAATCCCACTAACCATGAGATCATGACCTGAGCCGAAATTAAGAGCCAGATGCTTTACTGACTGAGCCACCCAGGCATTCTGGTATTTGTCCATTAAATTGTTGGATCTTTCCACTGTTGTTCACAGCTGAGAAAAAATGGCTCAAGATCCGTGCCTATAAGAATACCAAAATTAGCAATGCTTTTGGCATAATAAAGGAAGAAAGTAGGCATAATTTCTCTTTCTTTTTTCCTTTTTTAAAATTATGGGTCACCTGTGCCATTAGGTAGATGGAATTGGATTTACCAAATGACTGCATATTTTGCTTTACTTGAGGGTTTTGAATCTGGCCATAAGTTTAGCAAGTACGCTTCACTTGAATTCCTCAAAGTTATTTTTAAAAGACTTTTTTTAGGGAAGTTTTAAGTGTACAATTAAATTGAAGGGAAGGTATGAAGATTTTACATATACCTCCTGCCCCCACATATGCATCCCATACCCCATTATCACTATCACTCCTCCAAATAGTACATTTTTTTTTTTTTACCAAAGATGAACCTACATTGACACATCATAATATCCAAAATCCATAGTTTACCATAGGGTTCGCTCTTGGCATTGTACATTCTATGGATTTGGACAAATGTATAATGTTATTTTTGTATCATTGTTATATCCTACAGATTGCTTTCACTGCCCTAAAAATCCTCTGTGGTCCATTTATTCATATTTCCTTCTTCCTCCACCTCCTAACCCCTAGCGACTACTGATCTCCTTATTGTCTCCATAGTTTTGCCTCTTCCAAAATAATATAGTTGGAGTGATACAGTACGAGGCCTTTTCAGACTGGCCTCTTTCAGTTAGTAATATCTATTTAAGGTTTCTCCCTGTCTTTTCATGGCTTGATAGCTCATTTCTTTTTAGCACAGAGTAATATTCCATTGTCTGGATGGGCCACAGTTTATTTATCTATTGAAGGACATCTTGGTTGCTTCCAAGTGTTGGGAATTGTGAGTGAAGCCTCTATAAACATTTATGTGCAAGTATTTGTTGGACATGTTTTAAAATCTTTAGGTAAATACAAAGGAGCACAATTACTGCATCATATAGTAAGGGTATGTTTAGTTTTGTCAGAAACTTCCAAATTGTCTTCCAAAGCGGCTATAGCATTTTGCATTCCCAGCAGCAGTGTATGGGAACTCCATGTCCTTGCTAGCATTTGTTGTTGTCAGTGTTCCAGATTTTGGCATTCTAGTGGGTGTGCAGTCGTACCTTACTGTTGCATCTCCTTCATGACATATGATGGGGAGCATCTTTTTGTGTAATGTATTTGCAAACTCTGTATCTTCACTGATGAGCTGTTTGTTAAGGTCTTTGGCCCATGTTTTAATCAGCTTGTTTGTTTTCTTCTTGTTGAATTTTAAGAGCTCTTTGTATATTTGGGGTAGCAGTCCTTTATCAGATATGTCTCTTGCAAATATTTTCTCCCAGTCTGTGGCTTGTCTTCTCATTCTCTTGACATTGTCTTTCACAGACCAGAAGTTTTTAATGAAGTCCAAATCATCAATTATTTCTTTCATGGTGTTGCAAGAAGTTATCTTCATACCCAAGGTCATCTAAGTTTTCTCCCATGTTATCTTCTAGGAATTTTACAGTTTTGCCTTTTACATTTAGGTCTGCAATCCATTTTAAGTTAATTTTTGTGAAGGGTGTAAGGTCAGTATCTAAATTCATTTTTTTGCATGTGGAAGTTCAGTTGTTCCAGCACCATTGGTTAAAAACATGATCTGTATTCCATTGTATTGCCTTTGCTTCCTTGTCAAGGATCATTTGACTATTTTTATTGGGTCTATTTCTGGGCCCTCTACTGTGTTGTACTGATCTGTCTATTCTTTTGCTAATACCACATTGTCTTGATTAGTATAGCTTTATAGTAAGTCTTTAAGTCAGGTAGTATCAATCTTCCAACTTAGTTTTTCTCCCTCAATATTGTGTTGGCTATTCTGGGTCATACGTGCTTGAAATTGGGGGGTAAAAAGTTTATACTTGGATTTGATTTATAAATCATGTCATAGGCACACAAATAGAGAATTGATGTAGTTTGTCAAGATGCCTCCCCCTCAGAAAATTTTGAATCACTATATTTTAGACTCTGGGAGTAAAATAGTTAAAATATCAAAAGGGTAATTTGGACAGTAATGAATAGTGCAAGCAAAAAAAAATGTATCTAAGGGCTCTTTAGATGAGAAAATCACATGACTCATTTCCTCAAAGGCAGATTACACACACACACACACACACACACACACACACACACACAGAGAGAGAGAAAGAAAAAGAAATTGATAGAAAAATAGGTACACATGGATATTAAGAATATATGTTCTAAATAGAAAAAAGTAATAACATTTAAAAAATATATTGGACACTATGCCAACTGTTGCGACTTACATAATTTCTAGTTATTGAAATTACTCAGAATGTTATACAGCATAATTTCCTTTACACATCAGTCTCAGAGATGTGAAGTGATTTGTCCAAAACCATAAAGACCTGGGATTCAAACAAGTCTCTGCCTGGACCCAAAGCTCACCTTCTCTCCACTCTGTTATATGTCATAGTTTTTGTGTTTTATCAAGCAAAGAATAATTTTCACTGAATTTTTGTGTTTTGTTTAATAGCTCACTATATATGTCCAGCCAGAGCAAAAGCACACAGCTGAATATGCTGCAACCATAACTAAAATTGTGTTTGATTATTTTGAAGAATACTTTGCTATGGATTATGCTCTTCCTAAATTAGGTGAGACTCATTTTTTATTTTCTTATTTTTAATATTGCCTTTGCTTTCGCCTAAGTTAAATCATTTCCTCCAGGTTTAGCATTTTCAGTTAATAGTCACCCCTTAGTCTTTTTATTATATGCCTAAAATATGTGTCTAATATTTACTAGACCCTGAAAGACGCATTTTGGATTCCTCCAAGAGTAATGTCCATACTTACTCTGTTCTTACCTGTTAAATGCAAAGACTTTTACTTCCAAATAAAGATTAAAGTATTGTGTGGAACTGCAGACGCTGATAATAATGGAGCCAGAAATAGCAACCTAGATTAGTTGATTTCAAAGTCATTACTGTTCCAAGAGCTTACATTGCTGCTCTCCCATCAATGAGTTCATAACTAAAAGAGATAAATGTTGCTATCGGAGTCCTATGTTCTTCCCGTCCTTCCATTGGACAAGACTAATTCTAGATTCTCCAGCAGTTAGAATGAAAAAAAATATATATATATACACATATATATATATATATATACACATATATATATATATTTTCTAATGGGGGGGAACGTTTTCTTTTTAAAATAAAAATAAGGCTATAATCGAAATGGATATGACACTTCTACCAACAGCAAAAATGCTTTATTAGTAAGCTTGCGTGGTATTTGCAAAGACTTTAAATGAAACATCCATATAGATGTCTGTAGGGATAAAATGGAGGCAACAAGAACGCCAACCAACCCAAAATTTATTTCTCCATTTCAATTTATGCCTGTACTTTAACAAATTAGCAGTGCAAAGTGACTGGGAAACCAGGTTCTCTGAGTGGGAATAGCTGTGGCTCTGAGCACCTTTGTAGATGGTCCGTTTTCTCTTCAATGGCATCAGCTCCCAACTATTACAGAGAGAAAGGAAGAGAAACAACTTTTCATCAAAATCAGAATAATATTTAATAAAATGTTAAGCACATCAATTTAAAAGTCTCTTCTCTCTTCATCTCACTTGTACCACCCAGGATAAAGTGGGAAGTGGAGCTCTTAGAAATTTATTCTCTCTGCTCCTTTTCTCTTCCTCATTCTCCCTTACTCCTTCTTTATACTTTAAAATGCATTTCGGGGCGCCTGGTTGGCGCAGTCGGTTAAGCGTCCGACTTCAGCCAGGTCACGATCTCGCGGTCCGTGAGTTCGAGCCCCGCGTCGGGCTCTGGGCTGATGGCTCGGAGCCTGGAGCCTATTTCCGATTCTGTGTCTCCCTCTCTCTCTGCCCCTCCCCCGTTCATGCTCTGTCTCTCTGTTGAAAAAAAAAATTAAAAAAAAAAAATAAAATGCATTTCAGCCCTTTCAGAATTAACTGTTTCCTAGACTTTTTTTTACAGATGACTTCTGCATTTGTTCCCTCCTGATCTCTAGTGTAGTGTTTATTAAACACTACACTAGAGTTCATTAATTATAACGTTAATACTCACTAGAGAAACCACGTCACAAAAAAAGTCCTTTTGTTCAAAGATTAGGTACAAATTATACTCCATAATGTTATAGAAAATATTGGTCCTTGGAGGGAGTAGTTCTTCACCCTTTAAGTGGGTGTTCTTGTGACAAAATAGCCAAACCTAAGAATGACGATGACACAAAAAGAAAACTACTGCTGTAATCTTGATTTTTATTGAAGATAATATACCCATTTTTCATTCTTTATAAAAAGGTTTAGGAATCCTTATTTTAACTAGAATCATGGAAATTCTGGGTGCTAATAGAGAAATTACATTTTTTATTATAGTTCATTAACTGAAGAAATTGCATCCTGTCCACTAATCAAGCTCAACATTTTCCGTTTTGCGATTTGACATGGAACTGATCAGCACCGCTTCTTCCTATCATTATATCTAAGATTATGGGCCCAAACAAAAATAAAGAATAGAAAGTCCTGGTAGAACCCGACATGGTAGGTCTGGAAGAGAATTGAGAAAGAATACAGTTTATTTCGTGTTGACCCAACTTCTTTAGTGCACACAAATGGATGGGACCCTATTCAATTAGTAGGGAATCGAGCTGATAAATTGTACAGAAATAGGGAAAAAGTGGAATTTTATATTCTCTAATATTCTGCATCCCTGGATAGAAATATATCTCTGTGTACTTCAAAGCCCTGCACTTCTAATAAAAATGAAGTACAGACAGAGACAAAGACATAAAATTATAGAGGACTGAAAAGAGCATTGCCATTAGTATCCTTCTTTGAAAAATAGAAGACACATTGATATCTGGAGTCAACAGGAAGCATTCCATGGAAAGTTTGAGTGCATGAAGATTGAATAGTTCACACAAATAGATTATTGTTTTTTATTCTAAGAAATTATTTTTAGCCTTTTTTTTTTTTTTTTTTTTTTTTTTTTTTTTTTTTTTTTTTTTTTATTTTTTTTTTTATTTTTTTTTATTTTTTTAAATTTTTTTTTTTTTCAACGTTTATTTATTTTTGGGACAGAGAGAGACAGAGCATGAACGGGCGAGGGGCAGAGAGAGAGGGAGACACAGAATCGGAAACAGGCTCCAGGCTCTGAGCCATCAGCCCAGAGCCCGACGCGGGGCTCGAACTCACGGACTGCGAGATCGTGACCTGGCTGAAGTCGGACGCTTAACCGACTGCGCCACCCAGGCGCCCCAATTTTTAGCCTTTTTAAAACACATTCATCTAAAGAACTTAATTTGGTAAGAAATGTTATAAACAAATGCAAAGAAGTATTTCTCATGGGACTGTTTCTTTTTCCATAGATGAAATCGCTATTCCAGACTTTGGCACCGGGGCTATGGAGAACTGGGGACTCATCACTTACAGAGAAACAAATTTGCTTTATGACCCTCAGGAATCAGCTTCATCAAACCGGCAGAGGGTGGCCAGTGTGGTTGCCCATGAACTTGTGCATCAGGTATAGAATCTTAGCATCAAATCAGCTTTTTTTTTTTTTCTTTTTTTTTTTTTTTTTTTTTTTGAGAGAGAGAGAGAGAGAGAGAGAGAGGGAAAGCATGAGTGCACACACAAGCAGGGGAGGGGGAGACAGGCTCTGTCAGTGCAGAGCCTGATGCAGGTCTCAAACCCACGAACCACAAAATCTTGACCTGAGCCAAAATCAAGAGTCAGACCCTTGACCGACTGAGCCACCCAGATGCCCCTCAAATTTTCGCTTGTTTTTTAAAGTAGCTTAAGACCATAGGAATAACTGAAATTAATTATAACTTGACAAATAAAAAACGGCCAACCAGAAAATCCTGCTTGAAAGTCTTTCTTAGTGCTACTAAATATTTTACCATAAAAACCTTTTAAGACACATTGTTTTGCTTGTAGTAAGTATACAGGAGTCTTTGCTATGACTTTAAATAGTCCCGGTGATACTAAAATAAAGGCAATAAACGAAAGAGAATTTAAGATCATTTAAAAATCAGGAGAAGTGGAAAAAAATCAGGAGAAATAATGCAGGAAATAAATGCTAATTAAGTACAATGCCTGCCACTTCTGTGTCAAGTGACATTTTCATGGACAAATAAACGTATTGAAATTGTCTAGGCCTCTCTACCACAAGCATAAAAATTTAACCATCTCTTTATTGCTTATAATTCCAGTGGTTTGGAAATATTGTGACCATGGAATGGTGGGAAGACTTGTGGCTGAATGAAGGCTTTGCTTCCTTCTTTGAGTTCCTGGGAGTAAACCAAGCAGAAAAAGAGTGGCAAATGGTAAGCCCTAAACACATAAGCTCCAAATGTCTATTTTCCTCATGAAAGTGACTGAGACCTGTACACAATGACAGTGTCCCCGAGTCAGGGGCCTGGTGCAATGGTGAACTGGGGGGCCAAGCCCATTGTGTGTATGGAGTAGAATCGGTCAGCTCCACTGAACTCTATCTGGCTTAGGGTGAGTGCCGAGGTCTCGGAGAGCAATTGACCAGCCCAGTCTGAGGATATCCTTGATAGAGTCCCTTAATAACATGTGTCAAAGTAAGAAAAAAAAAATAGTGAGCTTAGGCAATGCAGCTCTATATTTAAGTGTCTGTAGTGCTAGTCCTTTGAAAAATCTCTCGTTTTGCAAACCACTTACATTATGGTGAAATAGTGTGGTAAAGAAATAAGAGCATAAACTTAGTGTTACAGAGAATGTGACTTTGAGCAAGTGACGTATCCTGAGTTGGTTCTCTCCTCTATAAAAGAAGAACATTGTTCTCTCTCTTGTAAGCTTAAAAGCTCCTAAAAATACGTGTAACTACCATTATCCTACCTTATGTCCCTGAGGGGCCTGGAACAAAGGCGTCTGTGAACCCTAAAGATTTTTTTCTGAAAAGCTAAATCTGTCTTTATCTCTATTTAGATGGTGTAGGTATGCCTGTCTGTTAGTATATATGAAAGTGTAAATGTGTAGATGTGTAAAAGTAGAGAATTACAGAAAGTTGTGTACTATAAGACTACCGCCCTCTACTGGAAAAAATAAAAAGACAAACTTGAAGCCTTTGGCCGATTCTACAAGCTATCTTGAAAAATGAAGAAGTTAACTTGCAACAATTCCTGCTTTAGAACTTTTAATCTACATCAGGGTTTTCCAACCACGGAACTACTGACATTTGGCCCAGATAATTCAGGAGTGCTTGATAATGGTGGAGGCTGTCCTGTGTATTGTAGGATATTTAAGAGCATCCCTGGCCCATATAGAGATACAAGTAACCCTCCCTCCCCAGTTGTAAAACCAAAAATGTGTCCACATGTTTCCAGATGTTCCCTGGGGGACAAACTTTCCACTAGTTGGGAATCACTCATATATGTTGAAAATTGTTGATTTTGTAATTTATTGAAACTAAACTATATAAATGAAAAAATATGTTGTCCTTTATTTTGTATAAAATATCCTGATGCCATACTTATATCAAGGTATCGCAAGAAAGTATAACATTTTAAATTGTTGTCATATATATATATATTTTTATTTATATATATATATATATAACATTTTAATATTCCAATTCAGTATTTCAAAACACCAATGAAATTTCAAAAGAATTTAGTATGCAGTTCTTAAGTGAAATTTAATCACATGGTCCAACTCATTTATTCACCCATTCATCATCATTCATTCATTCCTTTTTTTTTTTAAGTTTATTTATTTATTTTGAGAGAGAGAGAGAGTGAGAGAGCATGAGCAGGGGAAGGGCAGAGAGAGAGGGAAAGAGAGTGAATCCCAAGCAAGCTCTGCATTGTCAGCATGGAGCCTGATGTGGGGCTCAAAATCACGATCTGTGAGATCCTGACCCGAGCCGAAACCAAGAATAGGACACTTAACCAACTCAGCCACCCAAGTTGCCCCCATTCATTCATTCTTTATCCACTCATTCAGTCTTCTATCTTTAGTGAACACTACAGAGTATCCAAAACTGAACAAAACATAGTTCTTGCCCTCAAGGAGCTCCCAGTTAAGGGTATGGTGGGTAGAGGGGACAGATAAATAAAAAGACAGACTGTAAGAGAGCCTGATAAGTACCATAATAGTGGAGCTTCACTTTACAGGTGAAAACTCTGATGCCCAGGAAGGTAATCTAACTTTCCAATCTCACATAGAAAATTGGTAGCACAACTAAGACTAGAGTCAAATTTCCTGACCCTGAGACCTGAATGCGTTCTGCATCTAAAAGGTGTACAAAGCAATGGAGTACTACGTGGCAATGAGAAAGAACGAAATACGGCCCTTTGTAGCAACGTGGATGGAACTGGAGAGTGTGATGCTAAGTGAAATAAGCCATACAGAGAAAGACAGATACCATATGGTTTCACTCTTATGTGGATCCTGAGAAACTTAACAGAAACCCATGGGGGAAGGGAAGGAAAAAAAAAAAAAAAAGAGGTTAGAGTGGGAGAGAGCCAAAACATAAGAGACTGTTAAAAACTGAGAACAAACTGAGGGTTGATGGGGGGTGGGAGGGAGGGGAGGGTGGGTGATGGGTATTGAGGAGGGCACCTTTTGGGATGAGCACTGGGTGTTGTATGGAAACCAATTTGACAATAAATTTCATATATTGGAAAAAAAAATAAAATGTGCACAAAGTTTTAAGTCCAGATCAAAATTACCTTGATTGGCAGTCATCACTTGACAATAGTACCTTGTCTATTATAAATGGAAATCACAAAATTGGAAAATGTAAATATAGTATGCTCCTCTTTGGGGAATATTTTTAATAAAAGAAGACCAATAAGGCTTTTGATTTTTCTTTAAGTAGTGATTTAACAGAATGAGATTTCAGAATCTAATTGATTATGAATCAAAATAATAATAGCAGCTAATGTGTTGGGTTTCACTCCACCAGAGACTATGCCAAATGCTTACCATGCATTATCTCATTGAATTCTCTAACAATTCCAAAAAGTAGATGCCATTATTATCGCTATTTGATGGGTGCGGGAGCTTGCTTAAACCTACGTATCTAGGAAATGGCAAAAATTGAGTTATGAGCTGTGGAAGTCTGACTAGATGGCTAGACCTCTCAACCACTGTATTTTGCCAAGAAAACATAGTATTGGAATGAGAAGACGATGAACTATGGCAAAAGCTAATATTTTCTTTGATTAATTATGAATCATCCAAATTCTAATGATTAGTTGACTGAAAAAAAGAAATCCCGAACATTAGTTTTTGGCAGATCAACATGTATCCTCACTTAATTCGGAGAACAAAGGTGTGAGGCGATAACATGCCCGTTGCACAGGTGCGGAAATAGGGCTTGAAAAGCTTGGCACATGTCCGAAAGTCACACAGAAGTGGCAGAGACAGAATTCACAGATGCTTGTGTCTTCTTGGCCTGTCACATAGGGGTGGAGTCAAAGGAATTATACTAGAAGAAGGGAATGGAATCCATGCAGATGAATCAGTGCAACATGTGATTCATTTGGACACCTAACGCTTGTCTTAAGTAATTTGAGCAATTTATATTTATTCTCCCCCAATTTTATATTACTGATATTTTGAAATATGGACCATTATAGAGGAAGTGCTGTATTTCTTTGGTGTGTTGTGTCGTTTCAGAGAGATCAGATGTTACTTGAAGACGTGTTACCTGTACAAGAGGACGATTCTTTGATGTCTTCGCACCCAATTGTTGTCACTGTGACAACTCCTGCTGAAATAACATCTGTCTTTGATGGAATATCCTATAGCAAGGTGGGGAAGATAGGACATTGTTGTGAGCATCTTCCTGTTTAGTGACTTTTAGTAAATGCCTAAAAACGGTAAGAAGGTTAGACTATGCTCATGGGCTTTAGGAAACAGTGTGGAACTTATTTCTGGATGCTGAATATTCAGTAGTTGGGACTTTTCGGTCAAAACGATCAATGCTGGTCATTGTCACAAGACTTTGAATCAGACTTTGAAAGATTTCTCCCTTCACTTTTGTTTATAGCCTCTCTCATTCTAACTGAACATGTACACTTTAAGCTTCAAATTTAAAATTCTTTTATCTGATTTTTTAAAAGAGTGAATCTTCTTTTTCTGCTATGTGGTCTTTGGAAAACGCCATATATGGGGACATCTTTTCTATAGAATCCTTTAGTGCTTCCAGGAGGAACTGAAACCCAACTCAGTTGGAAGGAATTCCTTTTATCCATTTTTATATAAGACATAAAGATGACGTTATTAGCATGTTGCAGATGGGGCATTTTTATCCAAGAAATTTTTTTTGCAGAACTACTGAAGGTCTGCAGCGACCCATTTTCTCCCACAGTGTTTCCTTCCTACAGCTCCTCCTCCAAATGTATTCATGCCTGCATGCAGAATGATGTAGTTATTTCCCTTTTGCTGCTCAAGGTTTACCCAGTATGCTAAGTTGCTCAAAAGCCACTGGAAATGAATACAGTTTGTTATTCTGGATAATGCCTAGTTTTGTTTAAGACAAAATATTTTAATTATTAAAATGAATACTAGATAAAATGGTTACGTGAGAAAAGCCTTCTATAGATGGCTACTTCAAATTTATAGCATCATAATTTTGGCTTTCCCTGTCATTCCCACAGCATCTTTTTAGGCTTCTTTTCTCATTTTTCTTTCATATTGCTAATGATTCTTTTATATTTCTGTTAAAGTGAACATTTCTAGGCCACTTACAGGATATTCTAATTACTCACATGGAGATGTTTATATTTTATTAAATCGGTTTCTTTCCGAGTCCTAGATATTCCATGGGTTTAAGATACTAGGTCAGAAATAAATGTTCTAAGCCTTTAGTCTTCTCTGTGCAAAAATAATTTATACTTAATAAATTGCAGTAAAAATTGCTAACAGATGGGGAGAAGCACATGTTCTTCCGGCAAGTTACTTGAAAATGGATATAAAAATTTATCAATAGTGCATTTTAGTATTAATCATATAACATGTGCAGAGAAAGTAGAGAGCAGAAGTATTCATTAGATTCTTCAGACAAAATAAAAACAAGTGAGATGAACTACTTTTGAAAAGGATTTTATACCTAAATGATATATCTATATTAAACTATTTGACCAGATAATTCCTCAACTCTTTCCACAAAATGTAGTATTTTGAAAAGTATTGAAATAAATTTAAGAAGTAGCCAGAATTTTATCATGGAATTACTTTCCTTATTCACTGAAAAATAAGTTTTCTAAGTCTTTCTAACGGTTCTCTTTCATTAGAAAAGCTCCATCTGCTGGTTCATTTGATGAAGTGCAATAATTATTTAACCCCCCAAGTCTCTGAAATGATGGCCCCTTTATCAACTACTCTTGACCTTTTGTTATTTTAGAAGCATAGATACAGGAGGTGTGCCAAATGCTATTTTTATTTTAAAACCATGGAGCTATAGCCAAGTAATTTCGTGGAATCATTTTGAAGAGATAATCTCACACATATGATCATGAAATACTAGTCACGACAGTGGTCACTGGTATCCTTTACTAGTTCAATTTGCTATTCTTTTCCACCATAGGGCGTTTCCATTCTGAGGATGCTTGAAGACTGGATAACCCCAGAGAAGTTTCAAAAAGGATGTCAGGTATGATTTATGACTTTTAATAGTTCTACGCGTGAGGCACATCGGTCCGTGGCTGATGAATGTCGGTATGTGATTTTTTTTTTTTAATTTTTTTTTTTCAACGTTTATTTATTTTGGGGACAGAGAGAGACAGAGCATGAACGGGGGAGGGGCAGAGAGAGAGGGAGACACAGAATCGGAAACAGGCTCCAGGCTCTGAGCCATCAGCCCAGAGCCCGACGCGGGGCTCGAACTCACGGACCGTGAGATCGTGACCTGGCTGAAGTCGGACGCTTAATGTCGGTATGTGATTAATCAAGGAACTACTCCTCTTTTACTTTTTCCTCTCCTTACGCAGGGACAGATTAAACAGCAAAACACAGAAAGGTGACTTCACATCCAGCGAAGTGCCCACACTGTTACCTCTAATTACCATTTAGCAGAAATTTCATGGAGAAGTTACATGGAGTCCTTAGTTATTTTTGATATCCTTTACATGTGTATTGGCTTAGGCTGCCATAATAAATACATCGACTGAGTCGTTTAAACAACAGAAATTTATTTTCTCACCGTTCTGGGGGCTGAGATGTCTCGACCAAGGCACCGCAGATTCCTGTTTTAGAGAGGGCTGTTTGCCTGGCTTGCAGATGGCTGCCTTTCCCCGTGTCCTCACATAGCCGAGGGAGAGAGCTTTCTGGTGCCTCTTATCATCAAGCATTGATCCCATCATGAGGGTCCCACCCTCATGACTTCATCTAAACCTAAATACCTCCCAAAGACCCCATCTGCCAACACAATCGCATTAGAGATGAAGCTTCAATGTATGAATTTTGGGGAACACAACTCAGTCCATAGTGACATGACATAAAGATCTAAGTGTATCTATAAAAGTCTTCCTTTATAGTTCGTGCAAGGACTTTTTCCTTATTATTGGACTTCAAAGTGGCAAATGCACACATTCAAGGAATGTGTAGAGTCAAGGAATAAAGAGGGCCTGCTTCCTTTTGGAAGCAGAAATGGCAGTACATTTTCAAGAGCATTGCACACATCCCCCTTAGGCATACTGCCCCAGTGGGTATTTCAGCTTCTTTTTTGTTTTTCTAGAAAACCTAAGCCAAATCTCTCAGGGTTTTAATGGCATCAGCGTGGCTACACTCTGTCCCTGCAACTGTCCTGTCTGTAGGTTGGCCCATTGCAGCCTGGAGTTGGAACTGTCTTCCTGCTTCTTCCCATTCTCCTCCATCCTCCCCACTGTGAGGCCCCGGGTGGTTAGGCAGAGCAGTGGTGCTGAGGTTGCCGCTCCAGAACGTAGAAAACAGGTCAGAGCAGCGTCCTGCCAGCCTTCCCAAAGAGTACCAGTACTCCTTTTGGATGTGATTCCCCAGGACAATGTCCGCTCACTATTCCTTCAGCTCCTACCACCACCGAGCCTTCTTATGTGGCATCTAGCAGTCTCTATGCCACCCCAAAAAGAAACAGTCTCTTTACCCAATGGCAAAGTTCCTAGGTGACTACACGACCAAGACTTAGGAGATATTCAGGGGGTACATCAATGCATTTTACTCCTCTTGTCTACTAATAAAATACTCTCTGTGGACACTGGAAGAAAGGGAGAAGCCGTGTGCCTGTTCTTATGTGTACATTAGAACACCTTGTAACTTTTCCACCAGCTTCAAAGTCACATTTCATCATATCTTCTCTCGCTGTGAGCACCTTTAGTGGGGAACTCTGTCTTCTGTATCTTTGTATATATTCCAGTCCCTAGTAGACTGCATTACACATGATAGACAATCCAAACAGTGCTTCTTAAATGAATGAATGGTCTGTAAGAAACAACACAGAGAAAAAAACAAAGACAATTCATTTTTTTTTTTTAATTTTTTTTTCAACGTTTATTTTATTTTTGGGGGGACAGAGAAAGACAGAGCATGAACAGGGGAGGGGCAGAGAGAGAGGGAGACACAGAATCGGAAACAGGCTCCAGGCTCTGAGCCATCAGCCCAGAGCCCGACGCGGGGCTCGAACTCACGGACCGTGAGATCGTGACCTGGCTGAAGTCGGACGCTTAATGTCGGTATGTGATTAATCAAGGAACTACTCCTCTTTTACTTTTTCCTCTCCTTACGCAGGGACAGATTAAACAGCAAAACACAGAAAGGTGACTTCACATCCAGCGAAGTGCCCACACTGTTACCTCTAATTACCATTTAGCAGAAATTTCATGGAGAAGTTACATGGAGTCCTTAGTTATTTTTGATATCCTTTACATGTGTATTGGCTTAGGCTGCCATAATAAATACATCGACTGAGTCGTTTAAACAACAGAAATTTATTTTCTCACCGTTCTGGGGGCTGAGATGTCTCGACCAAGGCACCGCAGATTCCTGTTTTAGAGAGGGCTGTTTGCCTGGCTTGCAGATGGCTGCCTTTCCCCGTGTCCTCACATAGCCGAGGGAGAGAGCTTTCTGGTGCCTCTTATCATCAAGCATTGATCCCATCATGAGGGTCCCACCCTCATGACTTCATCTAAACCTAAATACCTCCCAAAGACCCCATCTGCCAACACAATCGCATTAGAGATGAAGCTTCAATGTATGAATTTTGGGGAACACAACTCAGTCCATAGTGACATGACATAAAGATCTAAGTGTATCTATAAAAGTCTTCCTTTATAGTTCGTGCAAGGACTTTTTCCTTATTATTGGACTTCAAAGTGGCAAATGCACACATTCAAGGAATGTGTAGAGTCAAGGAATAAAGAGGGCCTGCTTCCTTTTGGAAGCAGAAATGGCAGTACATTTTCAAGAGCATTGCACACATCCCCCTTAGGCATACTGCCCCAGTGGGTATTTCAGCTTCTTTTTTGTTTTTCTAGAAAACCTAAGCCAAATCTCTCAGGGTTTTAATGGCATCAGCGTGGCTACACTCTGTCCCTGCAACTGTCCTGTCTGTAGGTTGGCCCATTGCAGCCTGGAGTTGGAACTGTCTTCCTGCTTCTTCCCATTCTCCTCCATCCTCCCCACTGTGAGGCCCCGGGTGGTTAGGCAGAGCAGTGGTGCTGAGGTTGCCGCTCCAGAACGTAGAAAACAGGTCAGAGCAGCGTCCTGCCAGCCTTCCCAAAGAGTACCAGTACTCCTTTTGGATGTGATTCCCCAGGACAATGTCCGCTCACTATTCCTTCAGCTCCTACCACCACCGAGCCTTCTTATGTGGCATCTAGCAGTCTCTATGCCACCCCAAAAAGAAACAGTCTCTTTACCCAATGGCAAAGTTCCTAGGTGACTACACGACCAAGACTTAGGAGATATTCAGGGGGTACATCAATGCATTTTACTCCTCTTGTCTACTAATAAAATACTCTCTGTGGACACTGGAAGAAAGGGAGAAGCCGTGTGCCTGTTCTTATGTGTACATTAGAACACCTTGTAACTTTTCCACCAGCTTCAAAGTCACATTTCATCATATCTTCTCTCGCTGTGAGCACCTTTAGTGGGGAACTCTGTCTTCTGTATCTTTGTATATATTCCAGTCCCTAGTAGACTGCATTACACATGATAGACAATCCAAACAGTGCTTCTTAAATGAATGAATGGTCTGTAAGAAACAACACAGAGAAAAAAACAAAGACAATTCATTTTTTTTTTTTAATTTTTTTTTCAACGTTTATTTTATTTTTGGGGGGACAGAGAAAGACAGAGCATGAACAGGGGAGGGGCAGAGAGAGAGGGAGACACAGAATCGGAAACAGGCTCCAGGCTCTGAGCCATCAGCCCAGAGCCTGACGCGGGGCTCGAACTCACGGACCGCGAGATCGTGACCTGGCTGAAGTCGGACGCTTAACCGACTGCGCCACCCAGGCACCCCGACAATTCATTTTTTAAAAATTAAGTTAAAATTCCATTTGCATAGTTTCATTCTAAATGAAACTGATGGATAACACATTCTTGGAATTTTCAAAGCTGACTTCAAATTAAATGATTTTTAAAGCAACTCCTAGAGATGTACCAGGAGTCTTTAAAAGTGAATAGCTATTCTAATAATTCAGTAATACTCTCATATTTCCTTTAGCCTGGTATCTATGGTATAATTAATTAAAAATCTAGTCCTATCTAAAACTAATATTTCTCAAGTGAAATATGTCTTCCTCTACCCTGTGACTACAGATGGAGCTAGAAACCAAACTAGAATGAATAGATATTAATTTTTTTCATGCCATCATAGTGCTGTGGAATAAATTAACACACACACACACACACACACACACACACAACCCACTAGCCACTAAAACACTCACTTTTCCCCTACAATCTTCAAACACTAGCTAATATCTGAAAACAGCATATGATCAGTATAGACCACACTCAATAAGCTCTCAAGCCAATTGGAACATTCTTTTACTTCATTCAAGTATCTGAATAGTGTCTTTACTTGAATTAGCATCACTCTATGTTTGCTGCCCCTAAATTCCACAATCTGTGATATTGCTCAAGATCTTTCCCTAGCAAATACTTTCTGACCAAAGTGACTCTTCATTAGCTGACCAAAGTGTGGTACTAAATCTGGGGATGGCCAGCTGTCTATTCTCTTTCAAGCTCATCACCTTCCCCCAAACCCTATCTCAGACCTCAAAGTAGGTAGTAGTGAAGGGGAATAAGATCAAAGCCATCACCTGGAAAATCTTTAAGGCTGTGCTTGTGCATAAGAAATGATAATAGGTAATGGGGAATTTGTAACAGTATATGGTCGTGAAATCAAGCTGAGAAATATATCCATCCTTTCTTTTTCTCCTAGTATAAGAAATAGCCCTGATGGGACAGCAATGGCTCAGCTGCAACTTGTCCTTTCCCTTCCTGGGATACTAGTAACAGAAACAGTCTTCTTTTCCTTTTGTGCTTACCACACCAAACCCAACTAATGAGGGACTATTATTGGGGGATGTAGGTCATCATGAAATTTTGAGTGGAACGACTGCATTGTGACTATTCAAGGTGAAGAAAGAAATTTCTCAATATAGAGTATTCAGAAATGCACTAATCTAGACAAAATAAAATTGATGTCTTCGTTTTTGAAAGAGAGAGAGAGAGTGCGCGTGCACACAAGCAGGGGAGGGGAGAACAAGAGGGAGAGAGAAAATCTTAAGCAAGCTTCATACTCAGCAGGGAGCTTTACATGGAGCTTGGGGCTTCATCTCATGAGGGTGAGATCCTGAGCTGCTAAAATCAAGAGTTGGACACTTAACTGACTGAGCCACCCAGGCACCTCAAAATTGATGTCTTTTAATATACTGTTTATATAAATGTCTATGTAGCCTATGGTTCGGAAGAAGCAAGAGACTGCAGTTTAAAAAGCAGTAACAATAACGACACCACTGACAGAAACCACACAGACTGGTTAAGGATTCAGAATTCCTTCAAAGTTACCTTAGAAAAATCTCATCGCCTCTCTAGGCACCAGTTTCCTTCACCCCCCAAAATGTGAGTTGTATTAAATAATACTTAAAGTCCCTTCTAATTCCAAGATGGCATGTTTCTAAGCTCAAGGCATTGTGAGTATACAAATAAACTCCTCTAAATTAATTTTAAAAAGCTACTACTCACTAGAAATTTTCATTAACAGGTAGCTATGGTTACAATTCATTACTAATACTCAAGTATCCATTTATTTTATTTAGAATGAATGATTTGTGCAAAGCTCTGGAACAAATGCTTAAAACTGATATCCAGTGAGCGCCTTTCGTTTCTTCTCCCTTCCCTTGCCTGCCCTCCAGTGGTAGTGCTGAGCAGTGAACTAATCGAAAGAACAAAAACAAAGGCAGCATTCCTAACTGGTCGCAACCCTAGTCCAGGCTTCCTGGAGCTGGCTGCTAATATTGTTTTATCTGTCTATGCCTGAAAAGAAAGGAATTTAGAAGATAATGTGACTTAGGCACAGTACCTCCTGAAAATTATAGTCACTTTGAGTGAAAATGTCATGTGCGAAGTCAACCACTTGTTATTCCTTGAAGGCTCAAGAAACACTTAAGAAAGTGATGTTATTTTATTTTATTTTATTTTTTGAAAGAGAGTGACGTGAGCAGGGGGGGGGGGCAGAGGGAGAGGGAGAGAGAGAATCCCAAGCAGGCTCTGCACAGCCAGCATAGAGTCCAATGCAGGTCTCCATCCCACAGCCATGAGATCATGACCTGAGCTGAAATCAAGAGTCAGATGCTCAGCCGACTGAGCCACCCAGGTGCCCCAAAGATGTCCCTATTACATGGGACAATTCCTGACAGCAACAGAGGAGAAGTGGCGTAAGTGGCACCCAATTATGAGACTAGGAGAAAAGTGGGGATTTTCTTTAGGGACCTACCACATAGGATCTGAAAACTCACGTATAGAGAGATTCTGTGAACAAAATCGTTAAAGGGGAGAGCTTTCTAGTTAAAAATAATTCATATTTTAAAGCCATTTGAAGAGTAAAGACATTCTTTAAAGCGAATAATTTCCCAAATTTATTCATGATCAGGATCATCATTATCATTCTTACTGTTCAAAAGGTTGTATATCCATTTCCTTAAAGCAGGAGTCTACCAACAGCGACTTGCAGGCCAAATCTGGCCCACCACTCATTTTGCTAAGGTCTGCAAACAAAATCATTTCTACAACTTTGAACTGTTGAAAAATCACAAGAATAACAATATTTTATGACACATGAAAGTTACATGAAATTCAAATATCAGAATGCATAAATAATGTTTTATTGGTTATTCATTTATACATTATCTGTGGATACTTTTGTGCTACAGAGGCAGAGTTGAGTAGTCGTGACAGGCATTATAGAGCCAACAAACCTTAAAATCTTTACTATATAGCTTTTTACAAAAAAAGTTTTTTTTTTTTTGCTGAGCCCTGGCTTAGAGACAAGCTCACCTGTCTTATCTTTGCATATTTTGCATATTGCCTCAGTCATTCATGTGTGGTGGGGTCATCTAGTGTCTGAGATGAGAAAACATCACTAATAAATGAAGGTAAGGGATGTAGCCAGTGGTGACAGGTTGACAGCTCTAACTTAAGATCATAGAATTATGGGTCTTTCTTCATACTGGATCACAAATGTTATGGACTGTTGACTATTTACTGAACACTTGACTGCCCTTAAGTATCTCATATTTCTTGTCCTGAAAAAAAATTAAGCTTTTCCTTTCCTGTGCACAAGCCCATTAGACTATTAAAAAAGAACAAGCTAGGGGTTCCTGGGTGGCTCAGTCGGGTGAGCATCCGACTTTTGATTTCGGCTCAGGTCATGATCCCAGGGTCATGGGATTAAGCCCTGCGTCTGGCTCCACACTCAGCGTTGAGCCTACTTAAGACCCTCTCCCTCTCCCTCTCTCTCTGTCTCTCTCTCTCTGTCTCTCTCTCTCTGCCTCTCCTTTTGTCCCTCTCCTCTGCTTGCACACTCTATGTTTCTCTAAAATAAAAAATGAAAAAAAAAAATTAAAAACCAAGCTACATCATTAATAAGGAAAAATATTCCTTGTGCTTTACAAATAAATTATTTGACGTTCTTATAGGTTACAAAATGTTTTGCATGCCATGTGTCATTGGATTTTTATTGCAGGTACACTTGCCATATTATACATTAGAGTGAAATATGTTGATGGATTCAGCTCATGTGTGGAAGTATGAGAAAAGCATACATTGATTTCTAAAATACTTGTTATCTTTCACATACAGATTTACTTGAAAAAACACAAATTTGGGAATGCAAAAACTGAGCATTTTTGGAGAGCACTTGAAGAGGTATGGAGACTATCCCCAAGTATTTCTTTGATTAACATATGATTTATCAATCAGTTCTTGATCTGATTATTCTATCATTTTCCCTAATTTGTTAATTATTCCTCGTTTTTGTTTTTTTTTTAATATCAGGCAAGTAATTTACCAGTGAAAGAAGTAATGGATACATGGACCAAACAGATGGGTTATCCTGTACTTAATGTGAAAGATATGAGGAACATCACGCAGAAACGTTTTCTGTTGGACTCAAAAGCGAATTCTTCTGAGCCACATTCAGCTCTTGGGTAAGGATCATTTTCTTTAGGGCATTTGAAGAAAAAAGCAGAAATTTGATGGAAATACTGGCCACTTGCTTAGATCTTAGTCTCCAGTACGTGATTGATAGATAATATTAAAGCACAATGTCTTTAGGGAACCAAAAGCATTCAAACATAGGTCCATGGTCTCCAGGTTCAAGATGGTGGACTGAACACATGCCTCCAAGTCCTGTTCTTCCCAGAAATCACCGAATAAAGAAGTGCTAAAAGAAATAAACTCATAAGAGAAAGAAAGAGGAGGGGCTATATAGATTCTAGAAGGAAAGCCAGAAGGAGAAATATTGATAGAAAACAAACAAACTGAAGAAGATGAAGCCAGATAAAAAGAGACTTGCTGTAGAGGTGGAAACATCTTCCCTATCCCTAGACAGGCTCCGGCTGACTGTCAGCATGAAGAGTGGAGCACAGGAGTGAGAAGTGAGGCTGAAAATAGGACAATTAATTTGAAGTCGAGACTCAGGACAATTGTGCCAGTCAGACACACCCCCACTCCACTTTCCCGTCATCTACTAACAACCTTTCCTCTGTTTGGAGCGCTTAGAAGTCTGCCAAAAGTCTGGCAATGACCCAAGGCAAAAATCCAAAGACTCTACCCCCTGCCCCACCTCCCCCAACCCCCCAACCCCCGCAAATAAATGGACTAAAACAGTGGAGGAGGACTAAAGATTTCCACTTGGTTAGGATGCCCAGAATACAGCTTTCCTTCTCATGGCATTTGTAGGATGGGTGGGCTGGAACTGCCAGCTCCCTGCATACATGCTCAGAGCTCCCAGTCAGACTTCTGTCCAGAGGAAAAGGCTGTTTCAAAAATATACCTTCCCCCTCAAAAGCAGAGGGGTTACATACAGGACACCAAGAATAATTAATTTAGTCCTTCTTCCCAAAATATGCATGGGCAATTAAGATCACAAGACACATAAAAAAATCTAAAAGCATAAAAGGTTGAACAAACAAAAACCTGTCACTGTAAGAACAAAATTGAGGAAATAGAAAATAAATTTATGAAATACATTCAGAGATCAAAGAAGCTATTAACACTCATTAGCTCAGAGCAGAGTATCTTTGAAAAAACAAACTTGGAATATAGAATTGCTCTGAAAGATTAAATTTGTGGTTGTCAAAGAATTAATAGACCAAGTGGCAAGAAATTTGGGGAATTCTCTATAGTTATAGGGCAAACGCAGAGAACTGACAAATATGAAAGAGAAGACAAATACTGAATGTCCAGCACCCAACTAACAGACGTCTCTCAAAAAAGGAAACAGAGAAACTTGAGGGGCAAATAATAAAGGACACAAGTATTCTGAGTACAAAGTCCCGTTGAGGTCACAGTACAAAAAGGAAAAAAAAAAAAAACCTAGCTACATTCTCATGAAATTCCAGAAAACAAGGATACATGAGTTAGAGTGACATTAGACCTGTCCACAGCAACCTTGAATGCAAGAAGAAAATGGAACAATCATCTAAAATGGTTGCAGCAAAAAATATCTTCAACTTCTAATTCTCTTCCCAAACTAAACCAAATGCAAATGAACAGCAAAGACATTTTCAGACATGCAACTCCGGAAAATGCTTTCTACACAGCACTTTTTAGAAAGTTACTAAGGCTACGTACATCCCAGGGGAGGAAGAAGAGAAAAAATACGAAAAATCAGAAAGAGAAGAAACACATCCAGGAAACATTGTATCCAACAGAGGAAAGTCATGAAAGGAAATGCTGGCCAATAGCGACCCAGGGGGCTCGCAGTGCCATGCATAAGAGCAGGATGCTGGGTTCAGGTAGGTGATTGCCATGAGAAAGCAAGTATGGTTGAGAAAACGGTGAGATTATGAGTTTGTGAATGCCCATCAGTTGGGCAACTGTAAAGAAGAAAACTAGAGAAACCAAATCAAGGCTGTATGTAAAAATTGTGATCCAAGAATGTAAACCAGTAGAATAATTTTATGCCACTGACAATCCATACAATAAAAAGGAGTCCTTTTGACTCTTATGTCAGGCTGTTAGGGTAAATTTTTATTTAAGTGACTCAGGGGGCCAAGATATCAGCCCATAGAGAAAGAAATGTAACTCCAACCCACCTCTTGGACAACCATACGTATACAACAGTATAATTTCATAAATGTTACTTGTTGGCTTTTAACTTTTATAATCAACAATGAACAACATGTAAAACTTGTGTTACAGTGGCAGAGTAGATTGTAAATATAAACAGTCTTAACATTGTAACAAGAAAAAAAAAAGGCTGGCAGAGAAAATGAGGTGGAAGAGGAAGGAAAGGTGGCAGAAAGTGTCAGGATAGTAATTCAGTGGTGGGCTGGTGCTGACTCGAATCCCAACTCAGCACCATTATGCTGGTAGCTTAAAATCCATCACTGAATTAATGGAAACTAGCAAATACTGCATTCTGCTCCCCCGGTCCCCCAAGAGCCAGTTGTTTATTTACCAGAACTCCATAGGATATCCTACAGTTTCTCCTCATTGTAAAGTAGGAGATTTTGCTCCTATTTTACAGTTGGGAGAGAAAGCAACACTGAAATTTATGAAACAGGAAATGGCAACATGATTCCACTACTGTAAAGGAACAGTTATAACCTAGAGAAAGTCTAATAATTTTACTTCCCTAAATTTTGACTGTTAAAGGGCAAATGGAAGAGAAAGCAGTATAAGTAAACTAAATCACCCTCTCGCATGGATGAGTTAATAAATACTATCTGAAAAAAAATTTAAAAAGCTAGAGTTATAGAATTAGACGTCAGAAGAATTAAATCCAGAAGCATTTTAAATTTAAGTTTTATTTATTTGTTTGAGAGAGAGAAAAAGAGAGGGAGAACGTGAGCAGAGGAGGGGCAGAGAGAGAGGGAGAGAGAATCCCAAGCAGGCCCTGCATTGTCGGTGCAGAGCCTGATGCGGAGCTCAAACCCATGAACCATGAAATTGTGACCTGAGCCACATCAAGAGCTGGACGCTTAACTGACTGAGCCACCCAGGCACCCCAGAAGCATTTTTTTTTTACATTCTTTTTTTAACATTTATTTATTTTTGAGACAGAGAGAGACAGAGCATGAACGGGGGAGGGCAGAGAAAGAGGGAGACACAGAATCGGAAGCAGGCTCCAGGCTCTGAGCCATCAGCCCAGAGCCTAATGCGGGGCTCGAACTCACGGACCGCGAGATTGTGACCTGAGCTGAAGTCGGACTCTCAACCGACTGAGCCCCCCAGGCGCCCCCAGAAGCATTTTTAAAAGGGGATGTTTCCAAGAGGGGCTGGGCTGTGGGAAGGGTGGAAAAGGAGACTGGCTTCCAATAGCAGTTCTTCCAGTTTTTGCTAAGAATGTTTTTTATTTACAAACTGCAAAAATGAAGTTCTCCTGAATATTTAAACAGCAATTATAAACTCAATCAAATTCTCTTGCATATATCATTTATAAGTAACTTATGAACATCACTACTTAAAATTTTATTAAATCTCATTTATAATTTCAAAATACAAACAGCTAAAGACACAGATTTATAAATCAAATTTAAAAAACATACCTATATTTTTTTATGAATGTAATGAAAATTCATACTGTATACCAAATTTATTGGGCATTTTCAACATATTAAGAATCAAACCTTTAACTTTACAAACTCAGAGTTTTCAAGACGTTTAAACATGACTACTGAGTTAAGGTATCCTAAGAATTTCAGTTAAAATTATAAATACAATATGTTATTTCTCTTCACTTTGCCAGACTTTTAGAAATTGGCAAGGGTGAAATTGGAATGATTCTACAAATATTGTACAAGCTGACAAAATGTGCAAACAGCCAAATATTTCACACTTACCACACTTATATGAATATAGCTTGTATAAAAAAATCTTAATATTATGTCCATTTCCGTATACTTGGTTGTTTTTGTATACATTTCTGGGATGCCAATCTCTCCCAACAGAAGAGAGTGGAATCAGGATCTCAGGAGCTCTGGTATGGGGCTGGCCACAAAAACCTCGGTTTACCACTTTGGGGATATCATCTCAGCCCCCCATTACCCAGAAAAGCCTGCTCCTAGACAGCATCCTGATAAATGGGAACAACACTGTGTAGCACTAGTTCCCTGGAAATCATTCCAATGTCACCCTTGCCAGTTTTTCCCCCAATATCATTGACAAACAATTGACAGATGTCATATATCAGTTTAAGATGTACAACATGATGGCTTGATTTATGTGTATTGTGAAACGATTACCACAACAGGTTCATCGCCCATGCCAATTTTTATTGTCCCATCTTTCAACTTCTGAATACTTGGTTTGGGTAGAGAGACTTTTGCACCCACGGTCACTTTCAGCTGGTCTCTAATCTTCAGTGCCCAATTTCTACCAAAAAGGCCCTTTGCCCTCTTTATCTCCTCTTTAATAGTCTCATTGATCTTATACACAAAAAGTTACTTATATGTAAATCATCACAAGAGCAATTATTCAGTAGCAATTAAGATAACATGAGGAAGGAGAATTATACGGTGTGACAAAGGTGTCCCAGAATAACTATAAGCTGGTTCTTTTACAGTTACTGTTTTATGTTCTAATAAATTACACTGGCCACATTTAATACTGCTAGAGACTATTTAGATATGAAAACTTAAAAAAATATTTCTCTCTTGTGAAACAAGCTTCCATTGGGGAGTAACTACTGTCTCCTGTCATGTGTATCCATGGATAGACTGAGCCTGAATTAATGGGTCAGGAGGTGTGCTTGAATAGGCAAGGGCACAGAAGACTTTCTTGAAGAAGTGATATTTAAGCTAAGTAAATTGATATGAGGGGATGACCATGGGGATGTTCAGAAGAGACACTACAACATGTAGGAAGGCCCTGGGCCGGGGAGGGGGCAGGGGCGGGGAGTAGCATTACACATACAATATGCAATGCTTACTACGTATTTACTAAGTAGCTGGCCCTACTTTAAACACTTTAGAGTATTTTATTATTATAACAGGTGGGGAAATTGACAAATGACTGAAACTTATTAGATAACTTATTCAAGGGCGCAAAGAGTATAAGTGATGGAACTCTGGTTTGAACATGGGCAGTCTGGCTCCAAGAAACTGAACGGCAGACAGGCACTGGGCTCAGTGGTGAGAGAGGCAGGGGCCAGGCACGCAGACCACACTGAAGATTTTGAACAATAGTGTGCAACTTTAAGGACTTCAGAGAGAGAGAATTGGTAGGATCACCTCTACGTTTTTCAAAGTTCCCCTTTGGCTGCGTTACAGAGAATAGATCAGAGCAGGGCAAGAGTGGAAGCAGGAAGGCCAGTTACTATGATAATTGTAGCAAGTGACTCACGTGGGAGATGATTCAGAAGATGGGGTCTGCATTAGCAGAGTGGGCATGGGCTGGAGGGGTGTGGCAAATGTTCCAAAGATTGGGTTGAGCTACAATTTCTCATTAAAGAGTAAACACTATGCAGGGAACCGAATTGGATGAATTTACAGGTAACAATCCCGTTTTAGAATACTGTTCTCATCTTGTTCTACAGTGGTCTAACCAAATTTCTAGAGAACTGAAAGATCTGTAGAGACACACTTATGACACGTACTGTATATGGTGGGTAACAGAACCTATTTTCTGGCTTCCGATTCAGGGCTTTGAAAATTAAGTCACACTAATAAATAACACACTCGGGTGTTTCCAGAAATTCAAAGTGCCAAAATTCAAATTGGACTTTCTGTACAAGGCATCAGAAAATGAAGAGCACCCAGTATTATTAAACTAACTACTTTGAAAAAAAAAAAATTAAAAAATAAAGTAACTACTTTGAAGATCTTGGCTGGCACCTGAACTGGAAGAATATCAAGAAAGCCAGTGGTGCTCACCTTGTTGAGGCCCATTATCAGACTCTGCTTCTGGAAATGTCAGATAGTCAGATAGTCACAATAAATGAAATTCAGAGTGACTGGGTATCTTGCTGTATGCAAATGCGGAAAATTAATAGTTCATGCCAAAACAAAGGAAATTTGAGTTCCTAGACCAAGTGAGATCAGTCAGAGAGTGTCAGTATAAACTTCTTTATCTTTTCTTTATTTTGGAAAGGAAAGATTAGGCTAGAAAAGCTTTGTTTTCACTCTTTCCTCTTCATAATATATGAATGAATTGAAACCTAGATCTGACTTAGGTGATAATTCAGTTACAAAAATCAACATAATGACTTGTGATCATTCTGTTAACTATAAACTGTTTATAGTTACTGTTTTATGTTCTAGCAAATTAGATGGGCCATATTTAATATGCTATTTAATAGCTTTTGTATATTAAAATTTAAAAAAAATTTTTTTCTTTCTGGAGAAACAAACTTCCACTAGGAAAGCTTCATAGGACTTGTTCTCTTCTGACATATGTATCTACTGATTTGTTAAGCCAAAGACATACCCAACACTGTTTTTAAAACGGTGGGATTGCATTTTTTAAACTACTCCTTGGTTATGGATTTCTCTCCACACAAACACAAAAATTTATTAGCAAGTAAATGAAATGAATATTTTATCAAGTCTTCACTTTTTGAGTTATAATAAATCTTTAAATTGTATGCATCAAGATTTAGAACATGGAACTATATTAACATTCACACTTTTCTCTAGTATTTAATTTCTACCTTCAGATACTGTTTTTTATTTAGATTCACAGATGCATGATTTTTAGTGATCGCTTATTATAAAGTCAATCTACTTGATCCATTTTTGTAAATAAAAAAAGTTATATATGCATAGGAAAAACCTTATGTGCTATGCTGTTGAGAACATTTGTTAAAAATCTATAATAGCTCCTGAACAAATAGGAGAGAAAATGACATTCTATCAAAAGTGATCCTTCATGATTTTTCACTTGGTTAAAAAACTAGATCATAACATATGCCCTCATCCCCCCAGAAGGTAATTAGCTCTTTCTCCAACCCTAGTGTTCACCTTATTCTATGTTCAGATATATTCCTGTCCAGTAAAAACTGTGGTTGAATAAGCTGTACTATAAACTGAATGGCCCTCTCCCTTTTCTCACTGCTTAAATATTTCACGATGAGGGAATTTTTATGAGAAACTTTATAATCTTTATAAACTTACACACATGTGTGAGTTATTGTTTTAACACTACGGCCTCAAGCATCAGGCAAGCTTACATGTCTCTGGCAGTCCACTCAGCGTTAAACAGGGGGAAGATGGGAGTAGGTGTGTTATTTGGGGGCAAAGTCAGTTTCTTTAGTGAAAATTAGATTGGCCATATTTAATACTACCAGATCTTGTTAGATACAAAAAAGTAAATTGTACCTTTCAAAATGAAATCTGATCCTCCTAAATTTTAGATGTCCTGTAGGAGACTCCCATCATTCCGTTTATGTAATTTTCATTTCTTGACATTTTTTTTTAATTTTTTTTAACGTTTATTTATTTTTTTGGGACAGAGAGAGACAGAGCATGAACGGGGGAGGGGCAGAGAGAGAGGGAGACACAGAATCAGAAACAGGCTCCAGGCTCCGAGCCATCAGCCCAGAGCCCGACACGGGGCTCGAACTCCCGGACCGCGAGATCATGACCTGGCTGAAGTCGGACGCTTAACCGACTGCGCCACCCAGGCGCCCCCATTTCTTGACATTTTGTACTCAAATCTGTTATTTTACTCAGATTGCATTAGATCCTGTAGGTGATTCTAAAACTGTAAAATCATAAAGCCTCAACCCTCAATCCTTTTAGTCTTATGATTCTCTTACAGACTTCAGAGCAACGTTTGTACATAACTTAGTAGTGTATTTTATGCCCACTTTTGGGCACAGTGTCATCTCAGAGACCATGTTTTACAGGAGGTAGTCAAAATGTGAAGTCTTGACTGTGCACACAGGGCATCCGGACACTTGCGCACTCTGTTCTTTCAGTCAGGTCGGCAATGGGGAAAGGGAGGGAAAGAAATGTTCGTTTATGTGGCAACACCAAAACAGAAGAGTGGTGGAAGGGCAAAACATGTAGGTAGAGTGTGATTTTTACCAAATGCTTCTTTGTCTATCTGTTGAGAAGCTACAAGGGATCACTTTTAGGTTGACTTCCCTAAAAGCAGATGCTGAGGTGATGATTCAAGTGAAAGCGACTCCTCAGGAAGGGTTTCTAGGAAAGACTGGGAAAGGAGTAGGCAGTGAGAGGTCTAGCAGCAAAAGTGAAATATCAAGCAGGTGCTGTAGAGGATAGCTACCCTATGGGGAAGTTGTGGAGATACTGTTATAGAGGGGTCCTGACAGATGGGGCGAAGAAGATTCTCCTGCCATCCATCATTGGCGAAGGGCTGCATCCACAAATGTAAATTTCAAAGAACTTCTGGCAGCTAGAGGGCAGTTCTCTGACAGACAGCCCCAGGTGCTTGGCTGTTGGCTAGGAGAGCACGTTGGAATCTAGGGTGTACAAAAATGACAAAGGGATTCAAGGGGACAATCTTTGCTACACTACCCAAGAAACAATTTATGCATGGGTTCTATGGAACTTCTAACCCAAAACATTCCACAGCCATAAAATCCTCAAGGAAAGCTAGTGACAACTCAATCCCATAAAACATTTCAACAGTTATAAAACAAAGGATTACTTCTTTCATGGAGATGGCAAAATGTGTTCTCCCTGAATTACATAAATTTTATTATAAATTGAAAAGAAGTATCATTCCCCATTCTCTGTTAGAGACTTGAATGATCACAGATGTAGAAAAACAAGGTGAACTTTGAGTTGGTAACCAAATCCAAACACATTCATCTTCTTTCTAGATCTGTTGTATTTTCTCATTGATGGTACATGATATGAGAACAATCAAAAAACTTTAAGACCTCTTTTATGAGATTTCAATAATAAAATGTTATGTATAGGGGCGCCTGGGTGGCTCAGTTGGTTAAGTGACCGACTTCGGTTCAGGTCATGGTCTCACGGTTTGTGGGTTTGAGCCCTGCATCAGGCTCTGTGCTGACCGCTTCCTCAGAGCCTGGAGCCTGCTTCAGATTCTGTGTCTCCTTCTCTCTCTGGCCTTCCCCTGCTTGTGCTCTGCCTCACTTTGTCTCTCAAAAATAAATTAAAAAAAATTTTTTTAAATAAAATAAAACGTTAAGTATATATGGAACCAAAGGACAAAAATAACCTCTTCACCCTGCTCCACAAGAAAATATTAACTAAAGAGAACACCAAGAAACCCTGAAACATGTTTGTCTGATAATTTTTCCTTTGCAGCACACCTGATTCATATGTAAAATAGGAGATATTTGAAGAGCATGAGAATCTTTAAGGGATGATGGTGGTGCTACAATTTGAATTTCAACATAATTTCTAAAATGTGTTATTTCCTTTGTGGCATTTTAAGATTGTCTTCTGAATTTGAAAAATGCTTTGTGTTCCTTGACAGAAACAAACCATATTAGAGTATGTGTAAGTATGTGTGTGAATGGTCAATGTTATTATATAATGAGTTACATTTATGCAATATCTTTATTCCAAAGCCTCAACACATTTTATTGAAATAATCATCATGCTTAGCTAATTTGTTGATACAAAGTTCCAAATTTTAGAGATTTATAGAAATTGGAAGCAGTTATATAGCCTATCTTCATCTCTAAAGAGTGTTATATTAATTGCTTTAATTGTATCCTATACACTGGATATTCATTTATGAGGAAAATATGCTTGTCTATTGCTTTTTAATTTTTATTTGGGAAATGTTTTTATTTTTTAGTAATAAAAGTTAAATTTTCCTTTTTAAAAAACTTTAGTTACAGATGGAATATTCCAGTTAAATGGACTGAAGATAATGTATCAAGTATTACATTCTACAACAGGTCAGAAACAGGAGGTAAATTTCATCAATTGATTTATTTCTTCTTTGCATTAATATACCACATTAAACTAATGTAAGTGTAAAGAAGCAACAATAAATCTGGAGCTTATAATGTAAATTTCAGCTAAAACAGAACTCTTAAGTAATTTATCAATGAATTCAAGCTCTTATCTATAATGAGAAATTTTCCACCTTGTGATAGTCTTTTTAATGATTTACCATGACTTAATAACAAATACCCATGCCCAAAGGAGAAGTGTCACGCACCCAGTCATTGGATGATTAATACATAAGTTTTCTTTCTTTCTTCCCCCCTTCCTCATTTCTTCCTTCCTTTCCTTTCTTCCTTCTTTTTCAACTTTACTATTTTTCCTTTAGAACAGAGAAGTAAGTCATGGAATTTCTTAAAACCAAGCCTGGTTTCTTAAAATGCTGTCATTAAATTAGACCTATCATTTTTCCAATTCAGTATAATATTAGAATTTTTAATGACTCCAAATTCTTTTCTAAGTTGTAAATTGTCACCAATAGCTCAAAGCACTATCTGTATCTATTTATTTCCTTCCTTCCTTCCTTCCTTCCTTCCTTCCTTCCTTCTTCCCTCCCTCCCTCCCTCCCTCCCTCCCTTCCAACCATCTGTCCGTCCATCCATCCATCCATCCATCCATCCATCCCCCTAAATGAATTACTTGGTATGTACCTGTGTTAAAATCCAGCTGTGGCTACTATGCTAACTTAAATCAACTGGAAATATGTTTCTATAGTCTATCCCCTGTGGTTTGTCTTTTCCTTTCTTGAAAAAATTTAGTAGTATAAAAACAAGGAAACCTTATCTCATGTTCTCTCCTTCAGATGGCTGAAAAAATAATAGGGCATCCTAGAAGATTGCTACTTTTTATACTTTTACCATTGTACTTGTTTTACCTTTCAAAATCATTTCTTTTAGAAGACAAATGATACTCTTCTTCACCCCATCCCATGCAGGTTTTGTTTCAGAAAAGCATTTGGCATGGACTCTCCCTGTGACTTCTTAGGGATAAAAGTAAATAATCTATCCTTTATTTACATATTTGCTCCTACAAAATAGTGTAAAATATTAATTATGATTTCCCCTAACAAGTAAATTTTCATCCAATTTCCAGGAGGTTGATTTTTTAAAACAACCTCATTGAGATAAAATTCACATATTATGCAATTCACCCATTTAAAGTGTTTTTTATTACATTCACAGGTATGTGTAACCATCACCACAGTCCAGTGTAGAATACTTTAATCACCTCAAAAATAAATTCCATGCCCTTTAGCTCTCAATCCCTCTATCCTTCTATACCCCAGCCCTAAGCAACCATGGATCTACTGTCTGTATAGATTTGCCTATCTGGACATTTCCTATAATGAAATGATATACGTAGCATTTCATGGCTAGCTTTTTACATTTAGAATAATGTTTTCAAGGTTCATCCATGTCATAGCATGTATCAATACTTCATTCTTTTTTACTGATGAATTATATTCACATCGTATCGATATACGACCTCTCATTTATCTATTTATCAGTTGATGGGCATTTGGATTATTTCTACTTTTTAGCTGTTAATGCCGCTGTAAACATTTGTGTACAAATTTTTCTGTGAATGCAGTAGGTTTTTTTCACCTTTGGGGTTTTTTACTTTTATTATAAATTTGTGTGTGTGTGTGTGTGTGTGTGTGTTTAATTTTTACTATAAATTCTACCAGCTTTGTTACTGTCAAGGTAAGCACCCTTTCTGTTGCTTTTGCTATAAAACTTTCTCTTTGTCATTTATACTAACAATTACTTTGATTGTTACGGTCAACATTCCTCCTGAATTCCTCTAGACTTCCCAGATCAATGCCATTTTGTCTTACTATTTTTTATATGATTATGTTTACTTGAATACTGAACTCTATCTTTTGTGATCTGCCTTTTGACCTTTTTCTTACTCATAAGCATGTGTCAATGGAAAATTGAGAAGACAAAAGAGACACTTTATTTTTTTTTTTTTTTTTTTTT